AGCAGCTCTGTAACTGGCAGTGGAAATGGAGGGCAGGTATGGAGGGCACTGGATAAAGTTTTCTATTCCCTGAATAAACTCCCAAAGTTTGCAGTCCCATAATTAAGGCAGAGCCTGCATTCACTCGCCATAGAAAACAGGCCCTCTGTTTCTTGGAAAGCTGCCAAATACAGTGTGACAACTTGAGGAATTAATATTCAGCTTATGAATTCTCTTTGGAGTTGGGAACTCCCTCTGTGTGTTGTTGTCAGACTGCAAAGGGTGTGGGACTGTTTGCATTCTCTGCTCTCGTTTTACCTCCATACAATGCATACAGACACTTTCCTAATACTCATGGGTGTAAACTAGGACTGTCACTTAATCATAGTTAATGCCGACAGTTGTCACAAAGCAAATGAACGAGATAAAAAAAGTCATGATTAATTGTGGCTTTAATTTCACTGTTAAGGAATAATAGTGTACCAATTCAAATGTATATACTATGTATTTGAGAGAGTTTGTCTGATATTTAAATATCCCGGGCTTCATTTGCATCTTGCCGGGCACTGCCATTTTTAAATCCCCGTTAGCATGGACTCCGTGCCCGTGACTACACGCGGCACGGAGTAGGTAGTTCGAATTAGGATCTCTAATTCGAACTACCAGTACACCTCGTTCCATGAGGAGTAACAGTAGTTCGAATTAGAATGCCTAATTCAAACTACCTACTCGGTGCTGCGTGTAGCCGCGAGCTCGGACTCCGAACTATCGGGGATTTAAAAATGGCAGCACCCAGCAAGATGCAAATGAAGCCTGGGATATTTAAATCCTGGGCTTCATTTGCAACTTCGATTGACTACATTAACCACCCTAGTTCGAACTAGGGTGGTAGTGTAGACATGCCCTTTGTCTCTGTGTGCACCAATTTTCCATTTATAAATGTGGCTAAATAGCACTTTTCTACCTTACTGAGGTATTAAGGATAAGTACATTGTACTCAGATGTCAATGAAGGCCCAATAAGTGGCAATAATGCATCACACCATAAGAGCCAGGGCCACCAAATTTGGCTTGCAGCTTCCTTGTATCATAACTTAAAGCAAAGTCAGGGTTTGGTTGTGCCAGGACAATGGGATGTGTTGGAGCTGTGCCTGTTGGAGCTGCAGTGGCCATGGAGAGGTGCTTCTCACCTGGCCCCAAGCTGCTGCAGTGAGAGAGGCAGTCCTGTCTTCATGAGGCAGCATGTACCCTGAACCCCTCAATCCCATCCCAGAGGAATGATTTCAATTAAGAAAAACAATCCTTAATTAAGTTAAGAACCCCAACAATGCCAGGTAAATCTTCTAGAAATAAATATTGTGACAGACACAGACCACCTGCTGTCACACTGTAATGGAGATCAGTTATGCAGGGCACTGGATAAACAGTGTTCTATTCCCTGAATAAACTTCCTGGCTGTGTCTAGACTGGCATATTTTTCTGCAAAATCATCTGCTTTTGCGGAAAAACTTGCCAGCTGTCTACACTGGCCGCTTGAATTTCCGCAAGAACACTGACGATCTCGTGTAAGATTGTCAGTGTTCTTGTGGAAATGCTATGCTGCTCCCGTTGGGGCAAAAGCCCTCTTGCGCAAATGCTTTTGCGCAAGAGGGCCAGTGTAGACAACGCGGTATTGTTTTCCGCAAAAAAGCCCCGATCGTGAAAATGGCGATTGGGGCTTTCTTGCGCAAAACCACGTCTAGATTGGCATGGATGCTGATTTTGTGGAAAAGCGTCCGTGCCAATCTAGACGCTCTTTTTCGCAAATGCTTTTAACGGAAAACTTTTCAG